AAAATGTCAACAGTTTAAGGAATCACAGCTTTGTATCAGCGATCCAAAAAGTATACATCAGTCATTTTTCTCCCTGACCTTTTTTGCATTTTGCTAGTAGAAAATTTTATTCTAGGTATTAACTTTTTAAAGCAAAAAAAAAAAATCTTTTAGAAGTATAGGATATTGCAAATTATAGTGAGCAATGCTGAACTATTAATACTGTGTTCTGGTTTACTCACTTATTGTTTTAAATAAAAAAGATGCAGCTTCAATGTTTATTTTAGAAGACTTTGCTGTGAGCTTCAGACTTCCAGTCAAAATCTAACTGAAGATTCCGTAATTGCTTAAATAGCAGCTACTTTTACAATTGTCCTTAATTAGGTCCCAATTTAGCAAATCACTTGGCCATATGCTGAGGTCCCACCGGATTTAAGAATGTGCATAGAGTTGTGCACATGCATCAGAGCTTAGCTGATTTGGGCTTTAACATTAGATATTTTTTAATTATTTTCAATTTCTGGAACTGCTGTGGCCTTTTCAATTTTCTTACATATTTCCTCAGTTCTTGAGGACTCCAGCTACAATTGCTTCTGACTATTGAACAGAGGCAACTAACTTTTTTAAATTATAAGTTTATTTCAAATTGCCACAGTTTGACCTAGGACTGAGGGAAGAATTTCAGAATACTTTAAAAAGAAAGTAAAACAACTGAGAGACAGATGGAACTAAACCTAGTGCCACCACTTTAAAATAAGATGGGCAGCTTCTTCAATCAACAGGAAATCTCCAACAGACTGCACAGACTCTGATTATCCTAGGAAACTAAATAGCTTAAATTGTTGTGGTTACCAACCTACTTTTATTTACTACTTCAGCTTTTCCAGTAATTTGCTTCCCTCCAACACTCTGACATTTACGGAGCAGAAATTGGGAAACTTTTCCATGGTACAGGAAAGTTGTTTTTTTTCCCCAGGGGCATGTTCACTGCTTGCTTCTGTGCAGCTGCAATTGGATATATATTTGTATAGTGATACTTACACTTTGTGCTGAGACAAGAACTGTCCTTTGAGTCTTGCGGACTCTATACTGACAGGTTTCTCTCATCTGGACATCTCATCTTGGCAGTATCAACAAATCCTACTTTCCCAAACCCAATCATAAAACCAAATCAGTACAGTAAACTATAGTAACAAAAAGTATATTTGGGGTGTTTCTGTTCAGCCCTGGGGGACAAATGATTCACTGTGCACTTAGTTCATGTTTGCATGTTTACTTTGGAAAGTACATTGGGAAAAAAAAATTGGGGTTTGTATGAAAAAAAAACCCTCCATAACCCATTTCATTGAGAAACAGAGCTGTCAGACCAATATTGTGGCATTTATTGTGTAAACAAAGCAGGTAACAAGACTACACATCTGCTTTATGCTATTCTGAGTATCCCACCTTAAAAGCAATGTGATGGGACTACAAAAGATGCAAAAAACAGCAGCCAGGTTTCAGAGATGTCTGAATGACAACAGGCAAGAGGTCATAAAATCATGAGTAAAGTGGAAAGGATTACAAGAGGACTATCTTACTCTTTCAGAATCTTCACAAGAACTGAAGTGTACCTATTAGAAATATCAGGTAGCAGGCTTTGAACAAACTAAGGGAATATTGTTTTCAGGAACACTTATGCTCTGACAGTCAAACTCTAATTTAGCTCAGAAAGAGATTAGAGCATTTAAATCCAGCTAAGAAAGAGAGTCAAGATACAATTTGTATCTTGGAAACTTGTAAATCACTGCTTGTACATCGTGTGTTCAAACCTTAAAGTATCTGTATCCTAAACAGTCTCTACTGATAAACACTGCAGAAAGGGCAATGGATTAGATAAATCTCTGTCTTTCCTTCTATAAAATGACAATGGAAGATAGGATGGTAAAAACTTGGTTGTCCACTCCCAAAATGTTTGATTTCCACTCAACAGAAGTATTGGCTTTTTTATTCAGAGAAGTTTTCTCTGTGAGTGCATGAGGCACTCTAAGGACACAAGGAAGCAGTTTTACAAAGTTTACTAGGCATGCATGTTTCTAGATTTAGGTTGCACAAGGTTAATCTGTACTATGCCATATTTAAATTTGTATTACCATCTGCTAATTTAATGAATGAGTTAAAGGGTTATTAACATTTGTAAGCAGAAACTCTCACCCAGCTATATGTACTCCCTACATCTTCAAATGAACACTGTTAAACAAACAACTCTTCTTTTACTTTTTTTTCCAAATAAAATTTGAATGTAGTAGCACAGCCTATTCTAAAACCACGACCAGAATTTTCAATCGAGATATCAAAAAATCATATGATGATACATACAATGGAACCAAATTTAAGCCTGATGCTTTGGCCTATATAAACGGGGAATTTCCTCCATCAAAAGCTGACAGAAAAAAACAGTCTTTATGATTGTCTCACATAGAAATGTGCTTTCTATTCACTCGCATAACAATATATTAAAACAGTCTAACATGTATATAGAATAATAATGTGCACAAAAATTAAAAATAGATGTTAAGTGCTTACTTTTTAATGGGAACTGAAGTACCTTATTATTGATCTCTGTTGAAACTAAAAAAAAACAAAACAAAAAAACACCATTTCTTGATACATCCAGGTACTTCTGAGACTGACAAAAGAGACCATAACACCAGCTGTCATATTCTATTATCTAAAAATGCATTTCTGAAATGATTGAATGTTGCAGTATTTAGTTTCAGAATCATTGTGTTCCAGTATGACATACACACTAACACCTTGCAAAAACTGCTTAAAAATGGTGCATGACAGGGAAAAAAAAAAAAAGTCACATACATATTTCTAAAATACCTGCATTTTTTCAAGACAGCCTTTCCACTGGTGTAATAAAACTGGTCTAAAACATCTGCCATTGAACTTCCAGAATTGTATGGGTAGTAACCCTGTCATCATTAATATTTGAGGGGGGTAAAGGAAAGTAGAACTGGATCAAATTCATGTGCAGTGCTTCTTTCCATTAACACAAAAAAAACCTAAACAAAAACCAAACCAAACACAAAACAAGTAAAAACAAAACAAAAGAAAAATGCAATAAAGAGCTTTATCCATACAGTTAATTACAGAAATAAGATTTTTTTGGAAAAAAAAAAAAAAAAAAAAGGGATACATTTCACTAAAAAGTTGTATCCATTCATGTATCACACAGGATTTTTTAAAATGGGAGATGTTAGCGCAGCTGATCACTGACCATCTATCATATCACCAGATCAGTGATAGCTATTTTCATTGATCATAACAATACACTCATTCAATTCTTTTTTTTCTGTTGCAGCCTCAGGCAACTGTTCCCTTCATTGACATCAAGATTGGCATAATTACTAAAAAAAAAAATATGTTGGGGTTTTTTTCTAAAATACAGCCATCCAAAAGTGGGGGAAAAAATAAAAGAAACACATTTTCAGAAAAACAAAGCAAGTATTTCACTATGACTTTCATAAATGCCTGTCTATGTGAGTTGTATCTATACTGGCAATCAAAATTAGACCACAAAATAGCATAATGGACATGGATTTTATTACTTTAATTTGATCATAGATCCAATAATGAAGGAAAGGCAGACAAAATTGACTAACTTAATATTTATGGGAACTTGAACTACTGAAGAGATTAGTACTTTTACTCAGTTAAGCTTCCAACTGTCAGCTGTCATTACAGGACCTGCCAAAAAAAGCAAATGATACCAATGTTGCACTTGTAACATGAGCACTGGACCCTTTTAGTGAGAAACAAAACATGCAAGTTAAACCAGGAAAATGCATTGCTTCCTGGCTTTACATTAAGGACAAATCAATGTCCTGGTCCAGTCGTAATAAATTACCTTTTGCCAGGATAGATCAGCTTGGGTTTCTCTATATGAAATGTCAGTGGAAGGTATTGACAAATGTCAGTGGAAAGCAAAAAAGCAGTCAGTTGAGATTTTTGAAAGGAACCCAAACCATAGAAAATTTGGGCATTCTCCACCTCCCTTAAATACAAAAAAAATCATGTTTCTGTCAACTTTATAGGACTGGCAGCACTCACAGTCGTCAGACAAAGGGAAAACCTCTCTGGTGATTAAGCAGTCATAAGACCAACAGACTTGCAGTAGCTCTGAAGTTCATCAGTCCACTGCTACTGCTGGTAACTGGGATGTCCATACCACCACCAGTTTGAACCCATGTCTGCTACTGCAAGTGTAAGTGCACAATTCTGGGCATTTCCAGTAAATTAGGACTTAAATTTCAGGTGGTGAAGCAGTCCATAATTCTTGACAAACTAAGAGGCAGTGAATACAGCAGGTTAGCAGAAGACTACTAGTCAGCTGAGAATAAAGACTGATACTCATATGTGAAACTTTTTTTTTCAAAATGCCCAGAACTGGCCATTTGGTTCCAATATGCTGACACCAATTGTATGCATGGGAAAACAGGTTAGTATCCAGGATTTCACAACTGAAGGGCTTCTTCAATGTGGAAAGAACATGTTTCTTGTACACAGCGAGTGATAAAAGTATGTATACATAAATACATATATAAACTTGTGTGTGTGTGAGCATGGTCACACACCACTTACCGAAAGACTAATTTTAGTATTGATTAAGTAATTTAATATGTAACCTCATATGCTGAAAAAATTATACTACAGAAACTTTAGACACACTATAGCATTACAAAGCAGTCCACAAGACACCTTTTCCCAAATAACTGCATGTGTCTAGATTATAATAGCCCTGAGCAAACAACTTGGAGGCACCTATATGATGAATGTTCATTAAAAAAAAAAATAATTCCATTTCAGTGTTCATGAGCCTGGTGAGAAAAATTCAGGATAATACTTCGTATCAGGAGCAAAAGGCAGATGCACACTCTAACCAGACATTTTCTGAAGCACTTTTTCTTCCTCCCTTTCAATCTGGATTGAAACTTTTTGATTCATTACTCTGTTTTCACATAACTTTGCAAGACATGCAGTTCTTACATAAACTATATAGTGGATCACAGTCCTAGCAAGTCTGTAGACCTACTGCAGTCATTTCCATTAGACTGGCTGGCTCTATTCAGGATTTTTACCATCCCATACACCTCAAAAAAAAGTAATCTGAAATCTTAAAACATTCTTGCTGCCTTCCTAGTCTCTCCTGCTTCAAATTGGATGGATATGCAACTAACTCTGGAGAGATCATTGTTCCTTGGTCTATGAGCTGGCCACAGGCCTGGAAGACATCCATGCTAAAGCTTAGTCTTTAGTGATATCAGAGGGATGGGGCACGGCTTCTTTGTGTGCACCTAGACAGGAGGCTTGAATTGTTTTATCACACCACAGTACCATGTAACCATTTCTATAAGTTTATAACTCATGTTTATGCCCCTCGCCTTTCAATAACCAAGCACTAGGAAAAAAAATGTTGTGAAATGCAACAACAGTTGGGAGGCTAGCTCAAATGTTTTCTCATTATTTAAAAGAATATTGTATGTGTAAAACTGCTTTTGGGGGAATGGCTGAAACTAGTTTTGGTAGGAGAAACCCAGAAAATGACCATAAAGTTGTGCGTAATTATTCTGGGGCAATCTTTGTGTGATTTATAGTGAATCCCATCTCTGACATGAGAAATTATAAAAGAAGCTCAAGTTTCTCAGTGAGTCCCTATGACTATTTTGTAAAAGTCGAACGACTAGAATAAAATAAAATATTTAAGTAAAATTAATAGAAAACATTACATGTATGTATTTTGGAAGTCACTTATTTCTGCTCCCAGAATAGAGAAGGGTAGGGGGGTGGTTCCAAGAGGGACCTTGCTATAATAAGATGTTAGTAAGTAAACAGGATAACTTAATGACTGTTACGAGAGCTTCACAGGCATTCTCTGAGGCTCCAGAATGTGTCTTAGTCTAATTTTGGCAATGACAAACCGATGGCAGTCTCTTGCAGCCTCTCAGAACAAAATTTGATGCCACCAGGCTATAAAGTTGGACTCAGCAGTCTCCATCAATAGACTTGTCCACATCACACAACACTTGAATGAAATCCTCAGCACAGCTTCTACCCACATTCCTCTAAGAGAGCCAGTAAGAAACTTTAAATATTTCAAAAGGCTTTGCATAAGGCAGAGTCAAGTATTCATTTAAAACAGCCTTGTTTTATTTCTTTCTTGTCCTCTACCTTCTGTTTCCCTCTATTTTAACCATGTTCATTTTGAAAGCACGTATTGTTTGAAGGAAAAAAAAAAATCATTATGGAGTAGACAAGCTCAGCTAAAAAGATAGGAAAAAAAGGTTTCTGTTGTTTTGGTTTGGATTGTTGAGTTTTTTGTTTTTACATTAATGGTCAAATAAATCAAAAGATGACACTGTACAATGTGAAAGTACAATCATGAATAGCTGTTTACATGGATTTTAAATATTTTGGTAATGTGCAGCGTGCAAATTACCAAGATATGAAGAGAAGTTCTTATTTACATTGTGCAAGAATGAGGTTCATACACTATTTATCCTCTGTTTATTTTTACTAATCTAAATTATTACAATAAAAGAATAGCAATATGTGGTCACATAATTAGCTCTTACAATAATTAGAAGGGGAAAAAAGCCCTCACTGAGGCAAACACGCATTTCTGTGCAATTTAAACAGGAAGTCCTCGATGATTAACATTAATTGAGAAAAGGTTTTTCTAGAAAAAAAAAAAAAAAAAGAATCCTGTGTGAAACATTAAACAAACTTATCTGATATTTATGGTTTTTTCTTTAATAATTAATGAAATGTAAATAGTCAAGGGAGTCCAGAGTTTTGCTTTGTAACTAGCTACTATTATAAATGGCAGTCAGATGTTTACAGAATACCCAGAACCCTTTTGTGTGGAAGGAGGTTACAAATCTGCCCCTTTTCCCTGTTCAAAGTCAAAAATAATGGTGCCTGATCCCCAGAGCATTCATTGCAAGAACTGTTTGCATATTCAGTTATTGTTTCTGCTGCGTCAGTCATCTGCTGAAGTTCACTCTAATGTGGCCCTGATCAATTCTGCCAGCTGTGCTTAAGTGCTGTTTACTATAATAACATCACACTGCATTCTTATTTGGCAACAACAGCTATGACAGCACCTAAATGCATTGAGAAGCCACGATTTTTATCATGTACACAGATCAAACTGGAATTGTTTATGGAGGACAGTGTTGTTCTATTTCTGTCCTTTCTAGTGAATACCAATACCACAATAATGGCTTTGCCAAAAGCATTACTACTCTGCCCTTTCTAATAAGTGAAGGTCTTGTTGATCTAAATACTCTATAGGACATGGAAATTATTTAATTACTGTGGCATGCACATTTTCACTGAATAAGAGAGAGAACTCAGAAGATGGGTAGATGAGACAGAGACATATGAATTGGTATCACTCAAAGAGGTACAGAAATATTTTCTAAATGTACAATAATATTTAGTGAGATTTGAAATATAATGTAATCATCTGGTGCTTAAAAGGAAAAGAAAAAACTAAACCAGAGTAATTGAGTAACAACAGAAACACTCGTTGTGGCACAAAGGTCTCCAAACACATTTGCAACATTTCAAAGTAGTTTCACATATTTTTCCCAATATGCCAAACAGTTCGCTTGCCCATATGTTAAGTAAATCAAATGTCTTCAATATACAGGCATAGTGAAAAAGCCATAAAGAATGAACCTGATCCTCCTTCTCCTGAAATCAGCTATAAATACAGCAATAGAACCTTGTCTTGGGAGTTATTTTTTACACTGTGATAACACTCTGCAGTATGCTAGATGTTTTCCAAACAGACATGAACACATATCCGGAGAGCATACGTATAAAAAGACAATGACAGATGAAGCAGGGGAGGGGGGGAAGAGAATAAGATGTTCACAAAAAGGCTGCAATATAGAAAAGCATAGGTCTTATTAACCTCACTATTTTTATTTTGAGGGAGAGGGGCTTTTCCATTATCTTTGACGTTTATCATGCTAAGCTCCCCTCAGTCCATCCTTCCACAGTTCAGTCTCTTTTTAATTCCCTCATCAGTTTCTAGTTGCTGCTTAACTGTCCTTTCTTCTCCTCATGGCCAGTATTCCGTTCTCCCCTTCCTATAAAGATAAGTAATCCTTCACACAGACCACTGAAATTAAGAGAGTGTTTCTGGGGAACCAAAAACATGCCCTCACAGGGGGCAGATAAGACTTCACAGGAGCAACACCGGGCTTTGAAGGCCATCCAGGAAAAGGCATTTAGTAGGCATGGAGAGGTGTGAAGACGGTTCTGGAAGACAGTTCTTGAAAACTAAAACTACAGAAGATGTCAGGGTAAGAGTTATATAGAGATACACAGTCAAGGACAGTTAGGTAGCACCTTGAAATAAATGTTTTAAAATCTCAGCTTGATATATTGGATGACGTGGGTGGTTCAAAGAGAAGACTAGCATGGCTATATCTGCCAGCCATATTCTGAAATACAGCATAAAGCAGACATCTTCCATGCACTGCAGCAAAAAATGCTTTAACTCTATGGAAATGACTAAAAATGTTGACTGTGTGCTGCCCCAAGAAAACAGATCAAAACAAGAGTCTTCTAGAGAGCTGATCTTGTTACAGCACTTCCCTGAGTAGTACACAAGAAATATTCTAAGTAAGGTACAAGAAGCAGCAAGAAATAGAGGGAAGAGGCAGAGAAGCAACACAGGTTGCACTATCCAATAAAAAGTTTTTAAAAGAAAACACTACTAAGTCATACTGATTAAAAGAGGTGCTACAAAAGCATTCAAAAGGTAAACATTTCTCTCCCTGATGGCTGCACAGAATTCAAGAGAATATAAAGAAAGCCTGCACACATTCAATGGGAAGGCAATGAAAGAGTGCATAGGGGCTCAATCAATTCTAATTCTACACCCACAGATGCTGTTTAAATCAAAAAGCCATATATGAAATCCACCTATTTTGAAGTGGCACCTAGAGATAGCTGACCTGCTGTAAGAGAGTACTTGCAGCACTAAATTTCATTTCCTTGTGGGCATTTAAGGTAAGTTTTTGTTCTGCTTTGCAAGCCTGAAGAACCATTTTTTTAACCAGGAAAAAGGAGTCAATAAATTAGTAATAGCGATGTGTTTTGAATTCTATGCCTTCCATTAACTTCTGTCAAGTTATCGGACTTCTTAGGAATATTACACAGAACATGGATAAATCTTAATATGCATTCATGTCGTACATCCTAACAGCACAGAAGGCTCCTTCTGAGCAACTGTAGAGCATGCTGTGGCTGTGTATTAAAAATACTGCACATTTGGCTATTACAGACCCATAATAGTAAGCGTTCCACCAAAATCAAAATGCACTCTAAATTCTTGTTAAAAGATGAAAGAACAATGACTACTTAAATTCCAGTAACACAAACATAATTTTATAGCTGAAGGAACTGCAACACTGACAAAGATATTCTACTTTTTCTTTCTTACAATCTTTGAATATAAAAAATGAACAGGTTTTGGGTAGCTATGAAGAATTTGGAGACCAATTCAGAAAACTGATGAACATTCTCAGTTCCCAGTATAGCAGACTGGAGTTATGAGTCCCCAGGGAGACATCCCCCACAAGATCTCCTTTGCACTTTGAAAGATAAAACCAACCTGTAATTTCTATGCTTTTTCTTCATTCTCTTTGTAACTTTTAAAATCAACAAATAACAATTTAATTGCTCTTTTGCTAATCTCTTATACACTAAATTTAAATTTGGGGTGATTACTTACAGTATCTGTATAAACTATGGGAGCCAGGGGGTTGTAGGTGCAAAGCAGGCCTTCACTTTAGTTGGGTTAAATAGTTAGATAGTTGCTTGTATGTATAAATGAATCCCTCTTTCATCACGGCCTTAAAGAAAACATGACATCCTTCTAAATTCATCATCAGGTTGCCAGGCAGATTCAAAAACAAAAATAATTCATTCAAACTGTTTAATCTACTCAGTGCAGATTGACAGTATCTTTATATATTTTTGAAAGCTCTTTTA